TTTCGTTTCTTTTTACCCATACTTGCAGCCCACTGCCCGAACACTGCTTAGCTTTTTTTTTTCACGCGACTGAAGTAACTACGCAAGGAAGCTTGCTATAGTGACCATCCGAGAGATTTGTCATCAAGAAGCAACAGTAAGACTGGCTGATTGGGCCTTTGTTTCTCTAGGAGGAAACGGCACACGCAAATCGACAATGTAGTAGCAATGTTCAATGCTTCCCCGTAAAAATACAAGAGCTCCCAAAATGGTTCTAACAATGTTCTCAACGCATATCGCAACTCGCAACCATGATTTGTGGTACCGCGTAACACAGTGTCGTTTCAATGGTTCCGCCAAGACGTTTTTCTCAACTTTGTTGAAGCAGTGGGTAAAACTAGAAGCTGTACAGAAGAAGAAAAGTCACGCACGGTACTGTATTGTCACGAATCTTGGCATTGAATAAAAAAACCTTATGATTTAGGTTCATTCACGTAACCTAATGAAATTGGCATGGGAGTTCAGGTTCATTTGACGAAGTAGCGCAAGGAAACAAAACACACAGGCGAATTCAGTAGGCACGATACGCACGTGCAGCGTATTTTTTCTACTGCTTTTTCTAAAATGAAAGTTAAGGTAACATTTGCGTCCGCCATCAAAATAGGTTAAAAAATGTTCCATACTTCGATAAATTTAATTTTACCTCGGTTTCTGCATGTGCCCTTATGTACCTTATATAACTCCTCGTTTGCGTTTACCCTTCGCGACTAGCCGGCTAGCTGCACATTTTGCTCGGTGTTTTCTCTCAGCGAAACCATGGCCGGCTGTCTTCTTATCGATTTCGTATTTCCGTCGTTTCGCTCAGCCTATGTGACAGCTCTGAGATAGAAATGTTGATATTTAAAATACCACCCCATTGTAAAAGCCACCATATTTCCATCTCTAATTGGCAGACGGAGGTTCTACAACCTCTTCCATTGATTGAAGACACAAAATTTTGACAATATGATGGCACCTTAGAGTTTCCTAATTGTCCGTTGGTTCGGCTATTGATATTCTGATTCAACGACATTTTTCTGTACAGCGTCGCAGCGCATTTGCAAGCAAAGAGTGCAGTCGACACTAGATTTTCATAAACCGCGCCGATATCTTTTAACCTTCGGGCTCAGTTCGTAAAGCGTCATTTGGGTTATACGGTGATGGCTTTATAATTTCATAAACGTTACTTATATACTCCTACGATACAGTTGTATCGTTGGGGTTAACATCAACTATATATAGTTCAGCACAATGCATTGAAGGTGATTGGCAGTTTACATCAATTATAGGAATGGTGCGAACAGACATTGGTAATTCTATTTAAAGAGCGTTAAAAAATGAGTGCATCCTCACGAAGTAAATGGTTACAACCACTAATACAAAATTAAAACCTGGAGTCGTAGTTAGAACACATGGTTTGAAGGCAAACTCTTGTTTCTCTTCCCCCCCCCCCCCCCCCCCGTTTTACGTCCATGTGAAAGGAGTACGTGTCGAGCACAACTGATCTCTGTTTATGACTCGCTAGTATATAGCTCCGGAAGTTTCGACAACCTGGTGTTCTTTAATGTGCCCCTAAATCCAAGCACGCGGGCTTCTAGCTTCTCACCTCCAGCGAAAAAAAAAGAGGTTAAGAACGTGGTCTCTGAGCAGAGAAGTCGACTTCATTTTCATGATTTATCCTTAAAAAATCGCTTGACCAATACGCAGCCTTAATGAGACGCACCTCTGTGTCGTTCTTCCACGGGTAGTTTTATGTGGGTCATATTTAAGCATGCGAGTACATAATGTGGCGCATTATTGGAATGATACCCTGCCTTGTTAGCCCTATTCACTTAAATAACACTGGCGAACTCAATGATGTGTTCCTAACGCACCGCACCCCATCGCCTTCTCGAGTTTGATAGACTGTACACATGTATAACTCTGATTTGCTTCTCTACCATCTTTAATAGCACCGTTTTTTGTGCCCTTTTTATTGAGAGTATTTTCTTCTTCTGTGCCAGCCCTATCACGAGCGAGTTCCGATGGGAGATGAACCGGGTTCTATGCAACAAAATGGCGCCCCTTCGAAGGTGCCACGGCTCAGCCTTCCCTGCAGGCGCACTGTTGCGCAGGCTGGCTGAGTACAACGACATCCTGCAGTACGCGGGGCTGGAGCTTAGAGCGGAGAAGGGCCACGCTCTAGGCGAGCTCACGCGCAATAAACCAGTTTGCATCTTTAAAGGTGTTTTGCCATGTATATAGCTAACACTCTTACACCCTACAATAAGGGTGTTTTGATAAACAGAAGCACCAATTTCATGGGTGTTTGGGTGCCTCAAAACACTTTTTTGTTTAAAGAGTGTTTCAACTGCCAAACGCGCTTACAACCTTAAATAATGTTATTACACTTTTACAATCGCAAAAAAAGGGTATACCCTTACACCCTTGAATAGAAAGGTTTTATTGCACAATGAAGGGTGCTATTACACGCTCAAACCGTTAATCAAGGACGCTATTACACCATTTGCTCAGAAGCCTTGCATGATGATGCTGTTCCTTTTTCATGTACATTAGTTGTATTGAAGAGAAATACTGCCCTGGAGGTCCTCTCATTTCAAGTGCCAGCTGTCCAAAAATTGTACTGTGTTAAACACCTATTCAGATTCCCAATAAGAAACGTCCACACCACGATTCATATATTTCAGCGCTTGGAGCCACATATCACAAGCTGCACCATGTGCTGTATGCCATGGAACATGGAATGGGGGTTTATTCATTTACTTACAAAACTCGCACCCTTGAGTATACAGAAATTGTATATATCCATGGCCGCCTTTTGGGAGGCAATAAACCTCTGAACAACGCACTTCGGTTTCAATCACTGCGAACTGCCGAAACAAGTGCTGCACTACACAGCACAGGTTCTCCGTAAACGGCACGTATTGACTGCTGGCTCACATTGTACAGCCAATAGGCTGCCATAACGCATCACAAACGTTAAATTTTCTCCGATTCCGTTCGTAACAAACCGATTTGAAAAATCATTTCTTTTTTATAAATGTCTTTAGAGGCAGGGTGGGGGTTCAACATACTTTAACTTTACAAAAATGTTTTCTCACGATAGCCTGTCTGTCTAAAAACGCTCGCCCCGCCGCGGTGGTCTAGTGGCTAAGGTACTCGGCTGCTGACCCGCAGGTCGCGGGTTCGATTCCCGGCTGCGGCGGCTGCATTTCCGATAGAGGCGGAAATGTTGTAGGCCCGTGTACTCAGATTTGGGTGCACGTTAAAGAACCCCAGGTGGTCAAAATTTCCGGAGCCCTCCACTACGGCGTCTCTCATAATCAAATGGTGGTTTTGGGACGTTAAACCCCACAAATCAATCAAAAACGCTCGTTACTAGAATCAACCAGCAATTAAATAAAGTGCCTACCAATGGTATTTATACTGATTTACCAACTTTCTGTCAACCCTCTGACTGCAATCAGCCAACAGCGTTGAACAGAATTGTGTTAGACTGCCTGGTGACAACGCAGTAAGGACCTATCAACAACGGTAAACAGACATCTTAATAACATTCTCTCAAAACAAAGACTGCCCGTGAGCAGTCTGTCAATCATCTAGTAACCTGTGCTTTAATACACACACTCAGTAAATGGTTTGTTGGTTTATCGGTGGGTTTAGCGCCCCACAGCCACTCAGGACGCCGTATCGAGGATTCTGGATAGCTTCTCGGTCTACTTTAACGTGCCCTGACGACGCGCTGTGCACGCGCTTCTAGAATTTTCTCTTCACCGAAATATGATTGCCACGGCCAAGTCGAATCCCCGACTTTTTGTTCAGTGCTCAAACACCGTAACCACGAAGTCACCACGACAGTTACAAATACTTACAACTCGTGCCTTTTACAACAGGCGTACACACTAACTACAACTAGTGCCTTTTACAACATGCGTACACACTACCTACAACTCGTACCTTTTACAACATGCGTACACACTACCTACAACTCGTGCCTTTTACAACATGCGTACACACTTCCTACAACTCGTGCCTTTTACAACAGGCGTACACACTAACTACAACTAGTGCCTTTTACAACATGCGTACACACTACCTACAACTCGTGCCTTTTACAACATGCGTACACACTTCCTACAACTCGTGCCTTTTACAACATGCGTACACACGACCTACAACTCGTGCCTTTTACAACATGCGTACGTGTATATGTGTGATCTAATTTGTAGTAGAAGCCCACGCAATTTGAAAGATTTGTGAGAAGAAAAAAATTGCCCGCAGCTTCCCTCGGGGGAACACTGAGGAGGATGCGGACCATATAATTGGTTAACGGGGTGTTAAAGTGCGACTTACTTGGGTCGATGGCTAAATTGGTTAACGTGGTTGTGAAATGGGGTGTTAAATTGCGGCTTACTTGGGTCGATGGCTAAATTGGTTAACGTGGTTGTAGGAGGGGGTGTTAAATGAGTGAACACGTACACACGTATGCGAAAGGGCGGCGCTGGTCGAAGGGACGTCGATCATTGTGTTTGTGGACTCGTTGGAATTCATTTCACCGCGACCTTGGACGTCGACGCGCCGTACAAACCAACCGACGAGCGGCAACTGAGCGAGCGAGCGCCGACCTTGAGTATATATACAGCACGACGGCGCATGCACTGTCAGCTGTTGAATGTTCTCGAAGCGCGACGCCACATGCGCGTCCACTGGAGAATCAGGAGAATTGTAGATGTCGAACGCGGTGTGTAGAGGAGGAAGGGTGCACAGATGGTGGAGGAGTGAAGCGCGCGCGGTGTGTAGAGGAGGAAGGGATGCACAGATGGTGGAAGAGTGGGCGACGGCGCGACGGCGCATGCGCGCGCGTCAGCTGTCGAATGTTCGAGAAGCGGTGCGGACGGCGCACTACAAGGCACGAGTATAAGATGCTCCGCATCTAAAAAATGAATGGAACGCTGTATTGGTGGTGGTGATGAAAATTTATTTCCCAAAAAAGGGGTCGGAGGACCCTCGGCTAGACGCCAGGTGTAGAGGACATCTCCCACGTCGGGACAGGAAGCCCGAAGCTCTCCGCCGCCTGGCGGGCCTCCTGGACCACCCGAAGTTGGTCTGCAAGTTAAGCACTTCTAAGCATTTTGGCCCACTTTTGCTTGTTCTTGGCGTGTCACTCGATGCACAACCACAGAGCATATGGTTCAAATCTACACGTTCACAACACTGTTCACACACATGTTGTCCGTCGTAGTCTGGGTTGATATGCTTCATGCGCCAGCGGCTGGGGTATGAGTTAGTCTAGAGCAAGCGTAACATGACCGACTGGCTCCGCGTTAATTCCTTATTCGGGAGGGGGAACTCTCGCCGGCCTAGATAAAAGTGCTTCGTAATTTCATTGAAAATTAATAACTGATTTCTGTACTTAGTGGGCAGTATTAGAGATCTGGATTTAAAGTACTCGACGCTGGCGGCTGGCAGATATATACGGAAGAGAAGGCGAGGCTCTGGGACTAGGATTTAGTGCAACAAAATGTGGATCAATAGTACTCAATAATCACGAAGCCTAGGCGGTCTCACTGCGGCCAATAAATACCGAGGGTAAGCGAGTACAAGTACCTCGGAGTATGGGTAAACGAGGGAGAAAGATATATGGAGGTACAGGAAAAAAACATCGGCAGCAAATGGAAAGAGGAATGCTGCAATAATGAAGCACAGAGGGGGATACAATGGGTACGAAGTGCTTCGAGGTCTTTGGAAATGCATAATGGTTCCAGGGCTTACATTTGGGAACTCCGTGGTGTGCATGAAGTCGTAGCTGCAATCAGGAATGTATGTAAATCATAAGACTGTGGGACGCCTCACGTTGGGTGCTCACGGGAAGACGACGAACGAGGCTGTAAAAGGTGATATGAGATGAACAGGCTTTGAAGTAAGGCAAGCGCAGAGCAAAATGAGATTTGAAGAAAGGCTTAGTAAACTGAAGGAGAGTGAATAGGCGGAGAAAGTGTTCGGGTATTAAAGACGATAGTCTTTTTTGGGGACCTTCGACTCAAAAATTTTTTGTCTGTCTGTCTGTACATTTGTCTGTTTGTCCACCCTAAACGATACCTTAAAAGGCATTAAACGATACTCCAAACGGCTGACCCCATACGCAGCACCCACCAATATTGATCAAGATTTAGCGTTCCTGCTTGAGCGATTGCCAATTAAAAACAATTATTTCACATATCTGAGACATCATAACAACACGTCAATATTCTGTATATGTGTCTACTAGAAAAGGCATACATGAGTAATTCCAAGGACCGTAGAGCTTATCATGCGGCGCTGACGATGCCACACTTGCACGAAAAGGCCAACGCTTTGCTAAGACGACTCGGTGGTGGCACCTACCCGTCGCCTTGCGTTCTACACCTTATCGGCTCCGAGACGGGTGCGCATGCCGTGCGCTTCGTGTTCCAAGATAGCTGCCAGATAGCGCTCATGTCTCACGTGTGACGGGACTTGATGCACTCGTTCGCCTCCGCTGCATGCTTGAGGCACTCTAACGCAGCGCCTCCAGAATACAATTCACTGATTTTCTTGCGCAGAACATCAAATAAGCGTTTTGTTCACTCTCCAGACGCAAGACTATCGTCTTTCGACGGCATTTGCAGTGTAACATGCAGATACCGGGCCAATTTTTTAATAGGAAGAACGTAGACTCAAAGTGGAGAAAAAGAACTAGGAGGCTCAACAGTAAATATACAGCTGGCAATGTGGGCGATATGGCAATAAGAAGCATTAAGCGAAAAGTCCGAGAGGCGGAGAGGATTTATTGAATGGCAGCGGTAGAAAAGAAGCCGGCTCTCAGTAAATACCGGAAGGACAAGAAAGAAATAAGGCAGTAGAGTTTTTGTGATAACTTGGGGGAAGCGCTTTACTGTTTGAAGCGAGATCGGGTTGCCTTATAACGCGTAGTCCAGAGGTGGGAATGCCTTCCAGCACTTTGGAGCAGTCTCGGGAGCAGGCAAAATCTGCTTTTGGAGCAGCTATCTTTGTGTATGGAGCACGCACGTGCTTTCCATGACACCACGGAGGAAGAAAATTCAGCTTTAATTTAGTGTAATGTTCCAGTTCACGTAATCATTTGTACTGAAGTAGCAAACTCCAAAAATAAGCACGAAAAATAAACAAAGGCAGCATAGGCAGGGGATACAATACGTACGAAGTGCTTCGAAGTCTGTGGAAAGGCGTAATGGTTCCAGGGCTTACATTTGAGAACTCAGTGGTGTGCATGAAGTCTGAAGTGCAATCAGGAATGGATGTAAATCAAAGGACTGTGGGAGGCCTCAGGTTGGGCGCTCACGGGTAGACGACGAACTAGGCTGTAAAGGGGTTTTAAAGGCTGAAAAGCGCCCCCCCCCCTGTTAAAATGGAGGGGGCCGCTCTCACGATGCGCAGCGTAGCATGCCTATATATTGGTTTCATGAAACGACAATAAATAGTTGGTAGTCTGCGCTCTTTTCTTTCTCCCTTCTCGTTGTCCTTCGAGATTGCGCAACAAGTCAATTTTTCAAGTACAAATCAACTAGTCTGCAAAGAAGTATTGCAGGAACAATATACATGCTGTGGGGGAGCTAAGGGAACGATAGATCATGTTCTGATTAAACGCGGCGATATGCACGCAGGTGGTATACGTGTGGGTACAGTTAAGCCTACATGAGGTTTTGTGTTTTAGCGACAAACATTGAAAGATGAACACGTCCGCGATAAAAGCAAGTAAGAGACGGTTAGAGTATTGGTGGCCGAAAAGTAGAGATAAAGGACAGAAACAGTGGGAAAGTGACGTCATTCTGCCTGAAGATACGGGGAGATGGAACATCAGTTTGCATTTTTTTTTGTTATAATAAGATCGATTTATTCGAGGTAGATATGGCATCAGGTCAACGTAAAAAGAATGTTTTCATTTTTTTCTCTTGCGAGCCTGCTGGCATACATGTCAACACCATGTTACAAGGAGACACTCATTCCATCCATCCATCCATCCATCCATCCATCCATCCATCCATCCGTCCGTCCGTCCGTCCGTCCGTCCGTCCGTCCGTCCACCCATCCATCCATCCATCCATCCATCCATCCATCCATCCATCCATTTATCCATCCATCCATCCATCCATCCATCCATCCATCCATCCATCCATCCATCCATCCATCCATCCATCCATCCATCCATCCATCCATCCAGCAAAGTATGCACATTTTCAAACACGACTCCCTGGGTGCGGCTGCGCGCTCGTAGACCTTTCTGGTCTGCGCAAATTGACCGAACCTCGCAAAATGCACTGTAGAGGCAGTGCTATTCGCCTTTGTACTGCCACGTGCAGCATGGTGGCGTTTCTTGCCTCCTGTAGAAAGGTGCATAGGACCTGTGCTATGGTACCCACTATACCTGTGCTGCGCTTGTATAGCCAGCGGCGAGGGGAGCTTATTAAGGCATTCTATCCCCTTTGGATCTGGGCCTCCCACACCCCCTCTCGAGCATTGTATCCCCCCTTCACTCGACAGGCCACGAAAGGCGTCGTCTTTCACCGTCGCTAGTTGAGGGGGAGAGCCACGGTCCAAGAGAGTCTACTTTTAGAGATCCCTTGGTCGCGTGCTCGTACTCGTATAGAAGGTTCTTACTCGTATGGCGTGCTCGTATAGGCGCAACTTTAATATTAGCTTGTGATTTGGAAGATTTTTGCCTGTGGGAGATGCGGGAAAAAAAGTGCTGAATTTTCAGTAATTCGTTGTGTACTGCGGTTACTTATCCAATTATTAAGGTAAAGCTCTACGTCATGGGCTTAATCCCGGCCGCGGTGGTTCCATCTCGATAGAGGCCAAAGGGTATAGAGGTCCCTTCACTGTGCAATGTCAGTGCACGTTTAAGAACCCCAGGTGGTCGATATTTCCGGAGCCCTCTACTGCGGCGTCTCTCATAATCACATCGTAGTTTTATTATTATTAAGGTAAAATTCCACTGCAAAATTGCTTTAAAATTATTCTGGGTTTTGCTGCGCGAATTCGCACGATTGACGCCTGTTCCCATAATACCGTCTCTAGGAGCCTTGGCGCCTCAAAATCGATGGGCATTGCAGTTGGCTCTAAAAGTTCAAATAGGCAATGTATAATTATATTGTCAGAGCTCTTTTCTGTTTCATTGTTAGGGCAAAAAAGAAGCAGACGTATTCTATTGCTTGTTTTTAGCCTTTCTATGGTTCTTTAAACAAACAATGCATCTTGAGGATGAGAGAGAAGTGAGTATTTATTATAGGGCAGAGAGGTCGGCCTGGCCTGGTGTACTCTAGCCTGCTACTCTACCCAGGGAATAAGGGAAGGAGAAAAAAAATAGAAATTAAGCGTGATGATGCGGGACAGGAAGATGTAGTGCGTACTTAGCACATGCAGTGCCCTGCACTCAGCATCCATTCCAGGCAGCAGTTTTTTTACACTGTCTGGTCGCACATTGCTGACAAAGTGGAACTTTCACTAAATGTTGTTAGTCCGATCCGTGCCGAAATTTAAGTTAGCACCTTCCTTTGCGTCACGTATAATCGGCAGTCACAAAATACATGAGCTAAAGTTTCGCGCACTTGGCAGCGCTCACAGCTCGGGCTGTCCGCACGGCAGTATATTTGGGCGTAGAGTCGAGTGATGGTGACCCCGGCGAATCCAATGCCGCACACTAGCATGTCTTGGGTTTATTTTTGCCGGAAGAGGAAAAATCATATCAGGGTCAGTTTAAAAGTTTGGAAATGAGATAGAGCATTAGCCACTTGTATGCTTGTTGTCACCTAGGCGGACGAAAGAAGCTATATACATGGATTGGTGTACCCGCAAAAATAAGAAAGTATACATGTGCTGTATACCTCTAATTCATAAATAGTACCTCTCTTTCGTAAATGTTTTGCCATGCGTCGGTCAGCCTCACTAATATATTCCGCGTCAGCGTTTACGCAATCATTCCCACTCGAATAGTTTTAATAGAAGAAGTTTTATGTGAATACTAAGTCTGCGCTTAGACCAAACCCGACATCACATTTATATAGCGCTATATCCCTTACATTTTATCAGGTGCTTATTGTGTGGCGCTAAAGATCATAATTATTCTCACACAACGTAGTGAGAAACCTAAGCGCTTCATGTGGTGCAAGTGCTCATAAATTACACCAATAGTTTCCTTTTTGCACGTGTGCACGTATTCAAACACGTGTGTGTTGTGTTCAAGCGTAAGAAGAAAATGAATTGCATCATAATCATCATCAGCCTGACTACATCCACTGCAGGACAAAGGCCGCACCTATGTTCCGCCAGTTAACACAGTCCTGTGCTTGGTGCTGCCAATTTATACCCGCAAACTTCTTAATCTCATCTGTCCACCTAACTTTATGTCTCCCCCTAACCCGCTTGTCTTCTCTAGGAATCCAGGCAGTTATCCTTAATGACCAGCGGTTATCCTGTCTACGCGCTACATGCCCGGCCCATGCCCATTTCCTCTTCTTGATTTCAACTATGACATCCTTAACCCTCGTTTGTTCCCTAATCCTCTCTTTTCTCTTCTTGTCTCTTAAAGTTACACCTACCATTTTTCTTTCAATTGCTCGCTGCGTCATCCTCAACTTAAGCTGAACCCTCTTTGTAAGTCTCCAGGTTTTTGCTCCATAGCTAAGTACCGGCAAGATACAGCTGTTATACACCTTCCTCTTGAGGGATAGTGGCAATCTACCTGTCATGATTTGAGAGTGCTTGCGAAATGTGCTCCAGCCCATTCTTATTCTTCTAGTTACTTCAGTCTCGTGGTTCGGCTCCGCGGTTATTACCTGCCCTAAGTAGACATAGTCTTTTACAACTTGAAGTGCACTATTACCTATCTCGAAGCGCTGCTCTTTTCCGAGGTTGTTGTACATTACTTTCGTTTTCTGCAGATTCATTTTAAGACCTACCTTTCTGCTCTCCTTGTCTAACTCCGTAATCATGAGTTACATTTCGTCCCCTGAGTTACTCAGCAATGCAATGTCATCGGCGAAACGCAGGTTACTAAGGTACTCTCCATTAACTCTTATTCCTAACTGTTCCCATTCTAGGCTTCTGAAAACCTCCTGTAATCACGCGGTAAATAGCAATGGGGAGATTGTGTCCCCCTGCCTTACACCCTTCTTGATTGGTATTCTGTTGCTTTCTTTATGAAGCACTATGGTAGCAGTTGATCCCCTGTAGATTTCTTCCAGGATGTTTATATATACTTCATCGACGCCCTGATCCCGCAGTGTCTGCATGACGGCTGACATTTCTACTGAATCAAACGCCTTCTCGTAATCTATGAAGGCTATGCATAGTGGTTGGTTATATTCTGAGCATTTCTCTATTACCTGATTGATAGTATGAATGTGGTCGATTGTTCAGTATAGCCTGTTCGAAATCCTCCTTGTTCCTTTGGTTGATTGAATTCTAATGTTTTCTTTACTCTGTTAGCAGTTACTTTTGTAAATAGCTCGTATACTACAAAGAGCAAGCTTATCGGCCTGTAATTATTCAAGTCCTTGTCATCTCCTTTCTTATATATTAGGGTGACATTATCGCCATCTTAATACATGAGTTTATCGGCTCTCAAAAACGTTGTCAAATCGATTCGAGCACTGTGTTGTCGAAGCTTAAGTACTTCAGTACAAATCGAATGCAAGCATCTGTTCGGACCTCACATGCTACAGGGCGCATGGTAGCCGCTTAATAGATTCGAAGTGGTCGACAACTGCATTCGGAAGAGCGGCCATGTTTGTCGCAGCCTGCCCGGCGAAGCTTGGCGCGCACTTTGAACAGCGTGGACGGTGGCGGCCGACGTTCCACGGCACAGCACCGTTACAGTGCCGCTAGTGTGAGCGGGCTTTTACCTTTATATGCCGTTATTGGAGGAAGAGCAAGCGCGCTAAAGCGCTGCCAGCCACGTATACTATAGCTTTCTTGAATAAACTTATCGACTGTCTTGCGTTCATTCGGAGAACTGAATAAAGAAAAATGCGGATGCGTGTTCACACTTCTCATCGCCCAAGAATATGCGATTTCTTTCTTTCTTGTTTTTAGTTACAAGACCAGCATGCATGAAGCAAAGAAGGCAAAGAAGTCGGACCTGAGGAGCGCGTAGTAGGTGGGACATAAGCTCAACACTTACAAATAAATATACAAGGAACATGACAAAGAGCAAAAACGCAGTCACTAAGCGCGAACGTCTTTTTCATAGGCAGATTGCGTTGCGCTCACAACAGTGACGTTCGGGGAGAACCTCATG